TCTTCCTAAAATCTCTCTCTCTCTCTCTCCCCCCCCCCCCCACATGTTCCAATAACCTAAATAATATAATATCCTAAAATTTCTCCAAAACAACCTCCCTATCCCCAACTTTCTCCTAAGCCATCTCTATTTTAGTAGAGAGTTTCTCTCCTAAATTATCTCTAATTCTTATTTATCTTCTCCCCCACTTTTTATCTACATCTATCTAAAGAAAGTTTGAATTCAAAAATTTAAGAATTATTTAAATATTCTAACAAAATCATATAATAACTTTACAAAATTTATTAAAAAGACAAAAAATAATTATAATTGATTTAATAATATTCATATTATTAACAATTATATATTTTTACAAAATTCATCATGAAATTATGTACAAACAATACAAATTATGATTTTCTAGATTAGTTAATCTAAATGTTATTCAAATAATAAAAATCTAACATTAAAATGAAATATTATTTAAATATTTCAATAACTAAATATCTTTAATAACAAAATATTAAAATTAATATTTTAAATCAATTAATATTATATTTTAAATAGTTAATGAAAAACTTTTAATTATAATAAATATATTAAGATTTTAAATATTTAGTTAAATAACTAAATATTTTAAATAATCAAATATTTAACATAACGAGATTTAAAATAGTTAAAATAACAAAATTATGTATTAATAGTACTATAATTTTGTGGGCTATTAAATTCAACAAGTAATTAATATTTTAATATTTAAATAATGATATCATTTCAATAAATAAATAATATTGTAAATAACTAATTTCATTTATACTAGACCTGTTCATGGGCTGAGTAGCCTGACGGCCCAGCCTGTTATTTTTCGGGCTTGGACAAAATTTTAAGCCCGCATGCTCAGGCTTGAGCTTTAAATACCAGACCCAATCATTTTTCGAGCCGAGCTCGTGCTTTCTCAAATAAGCCTGGCCCGGCTTGATACTATTACATATAATAAAAAAGTACTAATGTTATATATAATATATATTTGTTTCTTAAATTATTAATAAATATCAATTTACTATTAGGAAATACAATTTAGTTTATTAATTTATTAAATTATTACTAAAATAATATAATATTAATTTATAAAAGTACACTGAAAATAAGACATTTTGTGTACAGGTCGTGCTTTGGGCTTTATATAAGGCCCAGGTTCGAGCTCAAGATCTAGGCCCGATGATCAGGCCAGGCTTGGGCTCGGGCCTACACATTTTCTATTGATAAAGAGGCAAAGCCCGACCCGGCCCATGAACAGGTCTAATTTATACCAATTAATAATTCTAGGAATAATTTTCAAAAAAACTATTGTTTAATAATAATAATTTTAAAACTTAATATTTATTATATATTTATCTATACTTAAATTAATATTTATTGTATTTTAGTAATTATTTATTGTTTTTTTTGATACATATATTTTAAATAATTATGTATAAATCTATTTTTGTTTTTTTTATTTAATAGAAAATTTTTTATAATTATTGGAGTTTAAATTACTGCTATTTTGCTTTTCAAATTTAATTTATTGTGTATTTTTGCAATAAATTTTTAATAATTACTAGAGATTAAACTATTGTTCACGAGTTGGTTCGATTCAGTTGTAGGTTATTTGGCCAACCAAATCGACTTGGTCAGGTTGGGGAGTTGGTCACTCAGGTTATATCGGTTTAGGTCATTTTTTGATTTGGTCGATCGGTTCAAAAGATTTAAACTTAAAAAGTTTAAATTAAAAAATACAATGACATTATTAAAAATTAAATTTATGATATAAACTATTTTAGCCTAAGAAATATTGAAATTTTTCCACTTTCTCGTATTAAAAGATATATTTAAAATATAAAGTATTAACATATATCATGGTCGGGTTGTTCAATTTTAGTTAGTTTACAAATGGCCAAAGCGAAACTGATCTAACCTAATCGAGTTGGGAAATTGTTGAAGCAAAGCCGATTGGAACTACTAAAAAATCAGGTTGTTCAGTTTCATTAGTTTGATTTGGAATGGCAACGGGGAGGGGCGGGGACGATCCCCATCCACGTCCTCGTCCCCATCCCTACTCCTCATGATTCTTTATAATGTCAACCATTATATTTTGTTTTTATTTTATTTAAAAAATAAAAATAAAATAATTAAAATTTACAATCCTATTAGAAAAGATTCAAACATATTCAACCATATTTTTAAAAATATTAACGTATAGACGTATGTGTACATATATACATATATAAACGTATGCATATATATACATATATATGGGGTGGGGATCAGGGTCCACGCGAGGCAGGGAGTGCTCTCCCCACCCCCGCCAACGAGGATGAAAATTTCCCCGTCTCTATCCCCGCAGGGGGAAATCATCCCCCGCCCCATTTGAGGCAAATCCTTATAGAAATTGGGGAAATGGAGAAAATTGCCATCCCTAAATTTGATAAACAAATTATTAAAAATAGTATATAAAATATAAATGATTATTAATTATTATTATTATATAAGACAATTATATACTCTTACATATTTCTATTGTTTATCTTTAACTTAACAAATCTTATGCATCGCACGGGTCCCACTAGTTGAATAAATAAAATAGAAGAAATCTAAAAGATAATGCCATTATAACTATTTAAAAATAGATAAAAAGAAAAAGTATATTAATTCAGGGCTTCATGCTATTATAAAAAGGGGTTCACTGCTGTCACAGTAAGGGATTGATACCCTCTACACAACCATTCTCCCTATAGCCTCTACACGACCATGATTTGAGTAGTGAGACTAAATGTATAAGAATTCTCAAGCTAGAGTAATGGCCTAATGGGTCTATCCCTATGTAAAAACATAGTATTACCCGATTGGATATTAGATCGATAGATATACCTTTCTTCTTTTTTATTGAGAACTGAAAGCCGAAAGGAAAATATATTAGAAAGAAACCATATTCATGCTATATGTGATTATTGGGCTTTTTACAAAAAAAAATAATAATAACAAAGTTTCATTTATTCACAAGATCGGTGATGTTTCAGAAAAAATGTTCAATCTCGTGAGTTTGTAAAATAAAATTAATTGCCCTTTAATTCCCCTGGAAGATTTATTGGTTATGTTTCACCATTATCACTTACCTCCCCAATTTGCCTCCCTACGTTGTTTTTAGAATGGCTTTGCTTCCCAGTTCCCATTTGGTAAGAGAATAAAGCAGTGAGTGATTTGAGATCAGAGGAAGGCAAGATCCCGCACTCACCAGCCCAAGGGCCCCTTTTCCGTTCCGCTGCCACGACTGCACCTCTTGTCCAGTTTGGAAGGAGTATGAATATAAATTTGTAGAGCGTAAAACGTTGTATTTTATATTATTTTGTATATATTTATACAGTACATATTTGTATTTGTGTTTTGCATAAATTTGGTTAAACTTGGTTAGTCACTGTTTAGCTTTTTCCAAAAAACATTTTTTAATGAATGGTTGAATAAAATCAATTTCATGCTCAAAGAATAATACCAATCAGAATGTAATATTCCTACGGTTCAGAGTGAAAGACGTCAATACCTTGGGCTTCACCCATCTCACCGATCAATGGCTGCAATATGCAGCGTCTACTACATTTCTTCCCCTTTTATTAAAGAATTCACGAGTTTTTGAAATAAACGTCGTGAAATATTTGAATTTGAAATACATAAAAGAAAGAGAACACCCACCAAGAGATCTGTTGTTCTAGTTCAATCGATATCTTGGATTAGTGCCCAGTGGTGAGCCTGATCTGGTTCTGCGATTTGACGACAATGAAATAAGGCCTTTAATCCATTTATCCATAGAAGCGATTCCATGTCTCCAAACTTCCCAAGTTTCTTCAAAAGGTCCTCAAAAAATGACTTGCTTTGAACATTATTTTGAAAACATCATCGATTTTGTCAATTAATTAAACTCCATTAAGTTTTTTCTTTTTTGTAAAAAGTCCTTGATCATTAGACATACCCGGTTGGTGTTTTCTGTTAAAAAGACGACACATTTAAGCTGTAGATTAAAATTAGAACCTAGATTTTTTGCCCTAATTGCTGAGTTCCAAACTCCAACGTCTCCCAATCCTGAAACCCCAACATCGCCGTCTGCTCCAGCAACATTACTCACTTTCCCTAAATTCCTCAACAGAAAAACCCTACTTTCTCACTACAAACCCTAAATCTCATCGCAAAAGCCAGCATCCTGTTGATGCCTGAACCAACAATATAACCCCTCTCCATCTCCCACTACAAACACTAGATTTTCTCGCAATAAAGTTCTAATTTGTTCCTCACTTGCATGAAATTCATGAGCATTCGTCTAACACCTACTAAAATAACAAAAATCCCAAAATTTCCAACCGGCTACAGTTGCCCAACGAAAGAAGAAGAAGAAATAATCGAAAAAAGTAAGGAAAAAAAAGGTAGTCAGAAATCTCGTGTGGAAAGTGCCGCTCATCGCATCGAATGATGCTGCGTTCGCACAAGATATTCATCATCCCACAGTATCCATCGAAGAGAACGGTCTAGATCCACTAAGACAATCTGCCTACCATACAACGCAGTACAGAGTTCTCTCCTCTCTGTATCAAATCAAAGAATGATACACAGTACGAATCTTCGGTGAAGAAAAAGAAAGGAGAAACCCCAGACCGACGACTCTTCCCCGAGCTCCACTTCGTTTCTGCCTCTCTTGTCGAGAAAGAGATGCATTTTATAGACAGACGCAAATTCTACGATGTTGCCCTAGAGATACACACAATTCATTTACACGGTTAAAAATGTATTAAAAGACAAAAGTAACCCTGGATTTTTGAAAAACAAATTCGCTAATCGCTAAATCAGCCACTCAGAATTTACTGGGCACAAAGTACAGGGGAATGCATCTGACCGTAAATTGATACTAAATTCACAGGTAGAATGTGATTTATAGGGGGAGAGGACTAGTCACAGAGGGTGAATGGAATTCAGTTGCCACGCTGGATTTTCACATGTTAAGACATAAATGCCACCCAACAGGGCAGGCTTATGAAGAGAAGTAGCACCCAGAGGACAAGCTTTGATCCCTTGGTCGCACGCCCATAGAACATCAATGGTGGCCTCTGGCGATCAAACTCACCCTCGCCATGCCCATTGTGTCTATGACCATCTCCACCTTCCCAGTATGTGCGATCATGATAATACTCACGGTCATACTCACGGCTATGATCATGGTCACTGTCATGGTCATGGTGATCATGGTCATGCTCATGGTCGCTGTCATGGTCGTGCTCATGGTCGCTGTCATGGTCATGGTCATGGTCATGATCGTGTTCATGCTCATGGTGATTATCATCATCTTTGTCATCACAATCGTGTTCATCATGGTCGTCGTCATGCTCATGTTCATCATGGTCATGGTCATGTTCATGTTCATGATGCTCATGATCATCATGATCATGGTCTTCCTCATCATCATGATCATCATCCTCTTCATCGTCATCATCATCCTCTTCGTGCAATTTCCGTTGGAGCTGCTCTGAGTCCGTCTCATTCCAGCCCTTCCGGCCCATCAGTTTCCGGGGAAGAACCACCCCACCATCTTTTTGGCGTGACCCATCAGCTGCAACGCAACACACAGCAATGGCTACCATGATCACAAGCAAAACAGCTGCGACCAACCTCATTTTCTTTCTCTCTCTTCTCTGCTCCTTGTATCGCTTTAAGTCCGAGTTTCTGCTGTAGGTTGTAGCTACAGGAATCTGACTCTGGCCTTATATAGAGTAGTAGAGTACAGTGCACATAGAATAATTCAAACAGAGTAGAGTTTGGATGAGCGTCAGAAGCGATTTTCCAACCTAAACTATTTAACTATCTATTTGTGCAGTTTTCATCAGATAAGGTAACTGTAGTATTAGATGGATCATGATGGAATGAACAGATCAACGACTAGGAAGGATCACGCAATTGAAGTGGGTCCCATGTTAATGTTGGGCCTGGTTCACAGCCCATATCTCTAATGATCCACGATTCAGCTGGTAATATGTAGGTAAGAATGTCTATAGTAGGTGAAACAAGAAATAGCCTTGATTATTAAATGTACTGGTGGTCCTTTTCCTTGTCCTGGGGCAGTGGCGGAATTTTTTTTTTGCGGGGGGGGTTTGAAGTTGAACAAGAAAATGTGATTCTATTACATAATTTTTAAAGAAAAATAAACAATTTCATTTTTTTTTAAGGGTTGGAGGAGAGTTCGAGTATGATAGTTTACATCATAAAGTAGTTCAAATAGGTTTAAGTTGGTACCGACCACTATATTTTATTGCAAAATTTATAGTACAAAACACGCCCAGTGTGTTAAAGAATAATATCTACTTTACGCCCAGACATTGTTATTAAACACTACGAGAAGAATAGTTGTGGTTTTGAGATTGAGGTGGCTTTGATAACATTTTTTCAGACCTCTAAAGTTTGAGAATGTTGTTTTTTCAGACACCACTTATTTTTGAGTTTGAATTTGGAATTTGAAATGTATTTTCTGATTTGAAAATCGTAAGACCCAAGCCAGGCACTAAACATAGTCAGATGCGTTTCAAACCTGGCCAAAAGTTTGAAATATCCTCAATATTCAATAATGACATATTATACCCCTATTTATTGAAACCAATTCAATTCGTTACCATCGAACGAAAAGGGAGATGGCGATGGAGAACTCAAAGAAACCCTATAGTTGCCAGCGATGAAGAACTCGTCAAAAAGAAAAACATATACCAAATCCCATTCTCTCTCTCTCATGTCTTCCTGCTACTGCCACTACAGCTCTCAACAGCGGTGGTGACCCTTGTCTTTAGCTAGTTGAACTCTCATATGTTCGATCTCTCTCTCTCCCCTGTCTTTCCACCACTACCACTACAACTCTCTATAGCAGTTGTCTTGTCTTTAGCCACTTGAGCCATTTGATCAAATCCACTACAACTCTTAGTTGTTCGATTTCCTCTCTCTCTCTCCCTTGTCTTCCTGCTACCACCGCTACAACTTTCAATAGTGGCGGTCTTGTCTTTATCCACTTGAGCCATTTGATCGAATCCCCTACAACTCTTAGTCGTTCCATTTCCCTCCCCCCCCCCTTTCTCTCTCTCTACTCCCGACCACTGTCGTCGTCTCTGCCCCATTCTCTGCCTCTACAACTAATGTAAAACAAAACACCGTTGCGACAATGTAAAATAGAACACTGCTACAATTGATGTAAAATTAATTATTAATTATTTTAATTTTTATTAATAAGTAAATAATTTAATAGTTTTAAAGATATTAACTTGCTAATTATTAAATATTTTAATTGCTTCATAGACTCTATTACTATTTTTATTATTATTTTAATTCTTAATAATTTATTTTTAACTTATAAATTTATACGTACTTTCCGATTTTATTATTATTTTAATAAATTATTTTTTTTTATTTTTATAATTTTTGTTTTTATTAATTATTAATTATTTTAAATTTTTATTAATTATTAATTATTTTTTATAAAATACTACAAATTGAACTCAAATTACCAAATAGTATGTTTAGCTTTTTAAGGGTAAAATAGTAAAATCAGGGAATTTTAGATGTTGAAGGGTTGATCCAACACAAACAACTTTATCTATTCAGGACCTCTAAAAAGTAGAAAAGCATCTATGCCTCTTTTCAGATTTCATACACTTTTAATATCTTTTTAGCTTTTCAGATTTTAGATTTCTGATTTATCAAATGCCACCTAAGAGAAATCACAACTTGGGATGAAAAACAAGAAGCCTAAAAGAAATTATTTATAAGGCTTGTTGGAGGTAGAGGAGTGGCCAAACAAACATAGAAAGTTGTTTTTTTAATTTTCTTCCTCAACTCTTTGCACTCCGACCTATAATGTGGGCTATCGGCATGACACGGATTGAAGGTAGCCTAGATGCCATATGTGCCATGCTAGGCTTGATGGAATCGGGCTATGGCAGACTGGGCTCGGGTTAAGTCTATTTTTTTCTTTTCCAATTTTTTTAAATTAAAAAATAACACATAATAGCATAAAATTAACATGAACAATAGACAATAAGTTGGACAAAATTGTTAAAATTTTGTTTTATTTTAAATTTAATGTACATTAAAAATTAAAGATTGCATTGAAAAAATAATACAATGGAGTTGAATTAATAAAATGATAAAATTGAAGATAAAAATTACAATTGGATTGGATTATTGGAAAATATTATAAATAATTCTCAAATAAAATTGAGCATGAAAAATTACAAGTACAAAAAAAAAATACTGGATTAAACACTTTTTCAAGTTTCATGTCCATCATCTGCATTTGGTAAACTATTAGTTGAGGTGTGATGTCCTCCTTTGTCTTGTAGCATATCTTTTGCATCTAGCCAATCCTTCAAGTAGATGCATATCTCCAAAGATTGATCATTCAAGTTGCTTCCCCTCTTCCTTATTTAAGGTGAGATTCCATGTATCTAAACAAATGCAGTGCTACCATTGTTTTGGCAACTGAAAGCCTGAAATCATGTCTCCACTTTTTTTTGCAAACTACTCTTCTTCCCTTTCCAAGGATTTTCTCAATCTCAAACATAGTCTGTCCTCTTACTAGAGCAAGGACTTGGCATTACTTGGTAGTAGCACCAATAATAGAAGCCATATATGGAGCAGCATTACTTTTAATGGCATTGATATTTTCGATGTTGTCATATTGAGATTGGACTTCATCAACAAAAGGAAAAGGATTTGGGGAAGAGTTAGGCATTGTAATGAAAATTAAAATTTAGAAAAATAAATAAATTTAACTGTTGCTTACTCAGTCCAACCGTTGTTATCCTTGATTTCAACCAATGAAGCTCTCTAAGCCTCCTAGGTCCCCAATTTGGCAAATTGCAGTATTTGATTTGTAAACTTGGAACAATTGAAACAAGCTCTTCCTTGTTGAAACTTGGAAACTGAAATAAAAAATAAAATTGAGAAAAATAAAAGAGTTAAAAATATGAGAGCATGTACATTATAGTGAGTAATAGAGTATTAAAGTATGTAACATAGTATGAGAGTTGTTGTGGTGAGAATGAGGGAGGGTAGTAGGGGTAATTATATGAATTTGGGGATTAATTTGTCCAAAGTACCCTCCAAAACTAGTTATTTATGACTGTTGGGAAGTGTATTTTGATCATTTTTAGGGTTATATGTTATTTGACTTAAAGACCCCCTAAACTAGCTAGTTGTTATAATTGTCAAGGGGCATTTAAGTCATTTTCCCCCATGGTCCAAACACATAAATACCCCCTATTAGTGGTTTATAGCTATTAAGGGCTATTAAGGGGTATTATAGCTAGGTTGTGTTGGGTCGTGCCTTGGAGGCCCGGTCCTGTCCGCAACGTAGGCCCAACATGACCCAGATTCCCATGTTGTGCCTTAACCTAGTCTGGAATTGTAGCAACAGTGTCATGCCAGACACAACCCCTATCATGTTGAGCTGTGTTGACCTGACAGTGTCCTGGCCCACATTATAGCTCCACTCGTAATATGTTGCACACAGCCACACACATTAACTTTATAGCCGTGCATCAGAAACATCTCTTTAATGTAATCTATGGAGACATTATAGTTTTTCTCCATGTGTGATTGTAATTTGGGGAAAATCTATGATATAGGAAAGATGCGATATGAAAAGAGTTTTGACTAATCAAAGTTCAATTTTGATAAATGATACCTGATTCATTATCATGTTTATGATTCCAATTTATTGGACAGTTATTTTTCTGATATCATTTTTCCATATGATAGATGAACCCTTCTTTTGTATGAGATGTGGCAACATTTTGTAGTGAACAGAGTATTCTCTTTTTATTAAGGTTCACTATGAATTTCACATGGTCCACTCTTTGATGTGGAATCATCTCATTGCTCGAGCAATGAGAGGAGATACTCATAGATGTATAAGCCAAAGTGAATGGATAGTTAATGTATGCTTTTTTGTTGGGATCTGCATTCTGATGTACACATTATGTTTGTAGCAAATCGAAATCGTTCTTGATATGGTACAAATAAGGTGAATATAGTATGCTACATAATCCAATCAAAACATATCAGCAACTGGTGGCAGTGTGAGTGGATTATCCTTGGATTCAGTGAACCCTTCGGTTCACGGGGCGTGTGAACCCTTAGGAGACGTGCACGTCACCCTCTTCGGTTCTCTTTATTCCATTATTTTAATTAACATGAAGAATCCCGTTAACAAGACCACGGGTGGCATTCTTCACTGTTTCACTGAATTTCCACGGCGTGTACTCAGGCGGTAAGCACCCCTTCTCCTTTTCCTTGAAACCCCATTATTCTTCTCAAATCTTATCTTCTTCCTTTCTACAGACCATCAGTGACAAGATTCAACCGGCGTGCAGTTGTGCGTAGATTTGTGCACGCACCAATCTTCTCAAATCTCAAATTTTATCTTCTTCATTGCAGCAGCCTGTTGCTGCTGATAATATTTCTTCATCAGTAGAAATTAAAAGAAATTAAAGAGAAGATTGAAATAGAGTGGTCTGTTATCTGTTTGTTAATGGGCTTTCAATGAATTTGTATCTCAATGTCAAACTCTTCTTCTTCTTCTTTTGTATCTCCACCGAGCTATAGTCCAAAAGCTCACCGGCGATCTCATTGCAAA